GTGCATCGTGCACTCGGCCAACCACAAAGGACCAAGGGTGCCTTCGGTCGAGCGATCCAGCGGGACACCCTTCTATCTACCCATTTAGAGGTTGCAGCCAGACTCCAGGATGCCGAGACGAGAACCCTGGCAACCGAAGACCATCCCTCGGAAAATCAACAGGAGGGTCGCGATGGGCGCCAAATCTGGAGAACCCAGCAAGCACCGCCACAGATCTGCCGAAAGGAGAGGTAGGTCGCCGGATCTGCAAGGAAACAAGAAAACAGAAAAGCAGAACCCAAGAAACCAAAGCAGAAAACATAAAACATAAAACAAAAAGAGCCACCAAAGGGGCCACAAAACTGACAGGCCACAAAGAGCCATCGGAACAAGGAGCGCGAAGCCGGCTCCATCATGCTTGAGCAGCCGAAGAGCCCGGCGGCTCAAGCACCAAAAACTCGGAAGCCTTGGGGCTTCCGATCAAAACCACGAAGCACTGGTGAAGGTAGTCAGAAGCAGGAGAAAAGAGGGGAAGAGAGAATATGTGGGTTTTAATTTAAATTCGCAGAAGTAGTAGGTTTAGGGTTTTGAATCTGAAAAGGAAATGAAAAGAGAAACGAAGATAACTTGATATTAAGGGTTTGATCAAACGAAACCCAGATCTGGAGAGGAAGAAGAAGAGGGGAAGAGAGGAGAGAGAGAAAGAATAAGAAAAGTTAAAAAAGTTTCACGTGGGCCCCATTAAAAGGGAAAGTTTAAAATGTGAAAATATGATGTGTAGAAAAATATGCCATGTGTACAAAAAAAAATGCCATGGAAGCAAAATTTTCATAGCTGGATTTACACGTCATTAAGATTTAAAAAATCTAATGATTTTGTGGCATTTTAACGAGCCACCTGTCATTTAATTGACGGAAGGACCATTTTGGTACCGAAAATGAAAGTTCGAGGATAATTTTGGTGCTTTTTAAAGTTGAGGGACAATTTTGGTACCAAAATGAAAAGTTGAGGGACCAAAATGGTACTTAAACCTTTAATTTATCCTTACATCAAGCAACGAGTCAAAGTCATCCCCCATTTTTTGATTGTAATTATTGATCCTACCAAAAAAGAAGAAAAGAGAATATATGATCACTTTCTTTTTAATTTTTTATCATCCAATTTTTTTTTTTTTAACATTTTACCATAAAATCAACTTGAATGGTTACTCTTAAAGAAAAAAATATAAATCTTACAAAAATAACTAAAATCACTTAACCCATAGAATGAGATTCATCCAATTTCCTACTTACATGATTCACAATTGTGAAATTTTTATCCATTACTTTGTGACGCTGGGCAAACGGTCGGTGCGGTTGCCTACCATCATTTTTCATGGCAGCCGCAAAGCTGCGATAATAGATTTCTATTTACCATTACTGTTCTATTTCACGAAAGATTGATTGACGTTTATTGGCTGTTTAATGCGGTAATTTAAGGCAATTACTATAGTCGTACCACACAGTCAATATCTTATTTACCTTTTTTTTTTCCTCGAACTTCAATACTGTGGACCGTGCAGTCTTCACTAGTTTAATAACCATTTCAAATTTCATACAATTCCATACAAATTCAGATTTTATATTGAAGAATTTTTTTATTTTGT